GTAAGCCTTCATGGTGTACTAGCTTCAGTACATCTTCTTCACTGTCCTTCAGATATTCTTCTGCCCTTTTTTCTTCTTCAGCTGTCTGGTGTACTTGCGATATTCCGCATGCACCTATGCTCCTTGGCAAGTAGAGTCTGTCAGCTGCATGGATGAAGGGCATGATTCATTGTCATTAGTTTTCTGGTCTTCCTATCCAGGGCTTTTAGTTCATCCTGAATCCAGCCCACTATTACAGCTGTATATCTAGTGCCTGGAATTGCCCAGGTGTTATTTATTTATTTAAGCAATTTATATGACCTCCCAACTCAGTCACAGTGACTCCGAGCAGCTTACAAGAATAAAAATCCCAAATACAAAACTCATTCCACCCTCCCATCCCCCTAGTGACAACAATACATTTACGCTAACCATTTGATCAGCTCCAGGTCGACCTTGAATCTCCTGGCTCACTGGCAAAACCATGCCTTCAGGGTCTTGCCTTGAAGATTGGGGCCAGACAAGAACATCAAGATGGGGGCCAGTCTTATCTCTGTGGAGATGATGTTCCACAGGGAGGGAGCCACCACAGAGAAGACTCTTCCTCTCTGTCCCACTAGATGGACTTCCTTAGTAAAGGGGACCTGTAACATACCCTCCCTCCCCAATCTGGTGGTTGGGCAGATGAAACTGGGAAAAGGTGGCTCTTCAGATAACCTGGCCCCAAGCCACGCAGGGCTTTAAAGGTGACAACCAGCACCTTGAATTGGACCCGGAAGGAAATTGGCAGCCATGTGTGCAAATTTAGGTTTGCACAAAACTATGCAGGCCTCTGCATTCTGAATCAACTGAAGCTTCTGGATACTTTTCAAGGGCAGACCCATGTAGAGCACAACACAGAATTGTAGTTCATGGATATTCTCATATACGTCATTAATTGTTTTTTCACATCACATCACATCACATCAGCCCATCTGGCAGGAAAAGTATGCTACATATTCGATCGGCCAGGGACTTGCATTTGGTGGATCCCAGGAGGCGGGCCTTCTCTGCCGTGGCTCCCTCCTTGTGGAACATTCTCCCCCCTGAAGTGAGGGTCT